TATACTGGTCGCAGTCCATCAAGAAATGCTTTTATTGCTGCTCTTTTATTTAGTCTAAGTAACTGCTTCCTGACTGACCTGTCATTTCCTTAATCCTCTCCAGCGCTGTGTGGAACATCAAATAAAGGAACAAAACCTCTAGAGGCAGAACAAATAGAACAGCACGGAGAAGTGTTGGAGTCTTTCGTATCAATTTGTGGAGTGGGTGTAGCATCAGTGGGATATTTGTTGGTTTAGGGAGACAAACCTTACAGGTACAAATTGCAAAGAAGAAAAATAGGCACAAGATTCTAGATATTCAGAGGATATAAAAGGTGAAATAAAGTCAAACAAAAATAAAGACCCAAGTAACTAGAAACAGAAAACTTGTATGAATTTAATTTAAAAAGAGTATAGCAAAAGAAGTCATACTCCTGACTATATAGTAGCTGCAGAGTTAACTAAAACTGGCTGTTTAATTCTTATTATGAGTTAGACTAAATCACTGACTTCTTATAATTCTTCAAAGTCCTTTTGTAGTTCAATACTTCCTGTCTTCAGCTTTTCAAGCTGGTGTCTTGTATAACTGCTATAGCACTGAATTGTGGGCATTCAGAGTGTGAATACATACTTTAATCATCTCGTTAGTGGCTGAAACATCTGGCATAACACATTTTTCAGGGGAAAGTGAAGGTGAAAACTACTTTTACATTTGCTGGAATTATCCTCCACCTTACTTAGTCCATTGGGGGTAAGCTAAAATAACTGTTTTGTGAAAAAGCATTAAACTATGCATTTTTAGCTGAGGAAAAATAAAACTAGACCAGTGCTCACAGAATCAAAAATAGTGATGTCACATATATTCCACTATCTAAGAGCATTGCTAGAAGAGACTGCTTGGTCATTATGTCCTCTTCGTAGCGGTAGTAGGCAACTGATAATAAATCTTAAACTTAAACTTATGAAGGGTTCATAAGACCTCTGTGCCGCAAACTGCAAACCACCTCTGACATCCTCTGTGGTATAAAAGACTGAAAGAAACAAATTATGTTGTCTTACAGGAAGACAGTTGGAAAATCAAAGATGTCATTAAGATTTTTGTTCCCTATGTTAAGAGAAAGCTTGTTAGATGATGTTCTTATTAAACCATGCTACAGAAGGCAACTTTACCATTAGCTGTATTTGCTTAAACAAGAAACCCTCTTGCATTTTGCATCCTTCAAAGAGCTACCTAAATTGTTATATCTAGCTATAGATTTCTGAGGGTTTGTTTTCCATTTAATTTTTTTTTTCAGAAAAAAAATGAAAATTTCCCTGTTTATATGCACTTTGACGTGTGGCTGAGGGCCAGGGAGCTTATATCTGACATCAAGGCAAGGCCTGCCTATTCATATGTCTTCAGTCATTTACCTCCGCACAGGGTGGTGGTACTTTGTTCCAGCTGAGCCTCTGTGGAATCTGGCTGCCTTAGAAATGACAGGACTCAACCAACTGACACCAAAATAACTTAGCCAGAGGTAAGGTGGCCTGTTACCCAGTGACAGAAATTCAGGAGAAAGCTGAGACCTTCACTACCAGGCTGAGGACAGAAAGCAAAGCCACAACAGAGAGGATTTGGGAGGCAGAAAGCATTGCTTTGAGAATATAGGGTAATAAAGTAGTAAGACACTGGAAATAATATTTGGGTCCTTACTTGAGGGGATAGGAGCAGTGGGCATGGGCCAAAAACTATCCCTCCTAAAATACAGCAAAGCGTAATAAAAAAAAAAATGACTTATATCCAGATGACACACCTTCTTTACACCTAAGCTAACAAAATATATGCCAGCCAACCCTCAGAACAGAAGTACTGTACAGATCACAGAAGTCACCTTGGAAGGTATCTAGTTTGAGTCACTCCCAAGTTAGGTGTGATTCAAAGGCCCTAAGTTTAAGAGGTCCCATTTTAGATTTAGCCAATAGAAAAAAGGGTAACAACCTCCAGAGTGTATTTTTCAGAGTTCCTGAGTTAGATACATACAGTTACATGGTTTAAATCCTTCTCTCACTGCATCTCTCTTTTATGTTTAAGGGCTGTAACCAGTTTTGTTATTAATTCTTCAGTCTTAGATTCTTTTTAATACACCCATCAGGACAGCAAAGCCCTCCCATATACTAAGACTATGAGTCTAGAGATATGGAGGAGAGCACAGGTTTAGTCTCTTGGTTATGATCAAGATGATGATGGGAAGGGAGGAAGCCTGAGTTAGTCCTACCCTAGAGGAGCCAGGGGATAACAGGAGGCAAAAGTTTCTGTGAGCTGCTAATTGAGAATACAGGATCTTATGTCCCCTTAGGGGTAGCACACCTCTAGGTAAGTTTTCAGTCCATCCTCTTTCACATACGTTGTCACTGTCTCTGACCTTTCCTTCCTATAATCCTTACTGCATGTGAAGAATTAGCTACTTATCCATATATTGTTCCTTTATGCTCACAGTGCTTTATTTGCAGTCACAATGTTGAGGTTACAAGAGCAGAATTGCAGAATTTAGAGATAAGTTTCTCAGAGTTCAATGTTTTAAGAGCATTGTGTACTTCATGCCTAAAGTAGTTCACCTTTAATTACAGACTCACACTGGTGAAAATTAAGGGACATCATTCAGCAATTTATTTGTAAACAAGCACCAAAGAGGTTACTGTCACTTAAAACAGTAAGAGAAACAACAGAAATTAAACTAGTTTGAAATTTGACACCCATCTCAAGCCTGGAAATCAATTAACTTGGAGTGATTTGGGCAAAACGCTGTTTATCTGGATTAGTTTTATACTACTTTTGGCAACTTTTTGATAAATGTACACTTAAAAGGTGTTAGTGCCTAGTCCTAAGCTGTCGATATGATTGACATTTTTAAAGATTAAACAAGCCTTAAACATCTTAAAGCTTAAACAGTGGAAATAATTAATATGGGAAGACCGAAATTTGCCCTGATGGATAATGTATTGCTTATGTATCGCTTCATTTCTATTTCAACCCTCAAAATTGTATGACATATGACATCTTCCATTTTGTTGGTTTCTCTGGCATTTACATTCCCAGTAGTCTACAGATTGTCATTTAAAGAACATCATTGTTTTATGATCTTTGAAGGATCAAGTGACAGCAGAAGGTAAAATTCTGCTCCTGGCAAATCCTGTAGAGAAAGGGGAAAGTACACAAATATTTAGTCAGGGAAGATGCTTAAAAAAAGAATCTACAGTATCTTATGGATACTGATGTAACTGCATCTTCAAATAGCATGTTCATCCATGGCACCTGCAGGAAGAAACAGTCATACAAGTTGCTAAGGGACATCTGCTGCACCCTGTGGCCCCAGTCCCATGATGGGGCTGTTGCCAAGACCCGCTCACTCTAGCTGCAGCACCACAGACACAGGGGCGGCCCTCCAAAATCCTCATGTGTGTCTTGTTTTCCCCTTAGCAGCTACAAAGTCCAGCTTGGCCCTCTCCAAAGCTGTGCACGTTGCTTCTTAATGGCCCGTCAAGCAGTGCCTGGAGATTTTTGGTCTTTGCCAGTGTCTCCGTTATTACCCCGTCTGTCAGGGCTGTGTTTGTGTGTTTTGTTTACTGGTTCCCGCCTTACTTATCCTCCTTTTGCACTGAAAAGGCCCTTGATCAGAGATCCTTAATGAAGCAGATGCTCTCACGTTTCCCATACCCTTACACGAGCAGTACTATGCAGATGATTCAGGGTTTGCAGGCAAGGAGTTCAAGTTTGCATTACCTTCTGACCTCTGAATTTTCTAGGGGTTTTTTTATTAAAAATAATGCCTTTTTACACTGTCATAGCCCTGTGTTTGTAATTAGCTATGGTTCTAACATATTCTGTTATCCTATTTGATTTAATTAGAACCAGTACTTCCATTATTTACATATTTTTATGAAGCATATCCGTTTACAAAATGAAACACTTTTCCAAGAACCCAGAATATCAAGAATGCCTTGTTTAGGAGTCACAGTCAGAGACGTTTTCAATAGCTCTTCAAAATCTTTATGACAATTACCATCACTGCAATATTAGCTCATTGTATTGAATTGATCCTTTGCAAGTTTAGACAGAAAATATTTTTCACAGCAAACATCATTAGCTAGGAGCACAAGTGATTCAGTACCAGCTTGGAATCTGACATGCCTATATGTTTTTAACCAAGACAGTTACACATTCATGGTTGTTTGTGGATGCTCCAGTAACTTGCCACCACTGGAGTACAATGGTAAGTCCATGACAGTGCAAGAACATGGTGTTTTCTCTGCTTAATATCTGAACAAGTTGATTCTGGAGAGAGAGTTATTAGTGACAGCCCACAAAAGAACTTTTTAGATGTTGAAATAACTGGTATTTGATTTCATATCAAATGCCTCTGTCACCTTGGGTAACTTAATGCGACTGTACAAGAAAATTTGTGGCCAGGGTAACCACAACCAAACAATCTAAAAAAATTTTCTAATCTTCTCCACGCTTGTCAGAAAAAGTATGAGAGAAAACATTCTAGCCAGACTGCATTTTAATTAGATTAAACAAACCCCAAAGGCCAGGATCACAGTAGCTCTGTGTAAAGTGCTGTCAAATAAAGGAACATGGAGGAGTAGCTCTGGATATGCTCCTAAGGCCACAGGATAGTAAATTGAAGGAGCCTGACTCATTAACAAAGCATTTAAATTCTTGTAAACATGGCCTGTGTCATGACTATATATTTTAATACCTACTGTCAATATCTATCTCAAGCATTAGGTTCATTTTTTTTCTTGTTATTTCTTTGACTATCACGATTAATAGGAAATGTAATGCCTGTGTGGAGAAGAACATGCAACCCATATACCTCTCTTGTTTTAGGCCTCTCCATCTATTATTCTCCTGGAGCCTTTTGTAGTTCTTTAGATCTTGTGCTGAAATTCACATACATCTTTGAAAGGATTTAATAGAACCAGTCACGAGTCACGAACCAGTCAGAACGAGTCTGCAGCAATACTCCAACAGCCAAAGAGAGGAAACCAATATTAGTTTATTTGTTTATTTTTCTTCTCTCTCACAAATGCTTTGCTTTGATGTCTGCCAATGTTTTTTATCTGTATCTTTGAAAACGCGTAGATGCTATGAGAATCTCAAAACAGAGAAACAAAGACAAGATAGCGAGTAACAAAAAGAGAAAGGAAGTAAAAACTACCAAAGTACTTGAAATTCTACAGAATACAAGCAACCACCTGGAAAAACTTCAAGCAAGAATGGAATCTCTTGTTTGGAAAGTAAAGTCATATTCACAAGCTTCAAATGTGAAACACATTTCTAATATTAATGCATGTAAATTACTACCTTTAACAAACCTTAATTCAAGGAGGGACAAGAAGTCGGTTCTCAATCTATTTTATTGAGATTCCTAATTGCTTTAATTTTTGATATCTATCAAAGTAGATATCAGTTTCATATATCAAATTAAAGGGAGAGACAACATTTTAAAATATTTACAGCACATTCGAAGTTGTGGATTCAAATATGCAATTTCAGAAAGCCAGTGGCCTATTACAGATTGTAAGAGGATCAGATACCCAACACTGAGAACAAAGGCTTCAGAAAAATCCTGCCTTGAATTTAGAAGAAGCAAAAATGGTATGACATGCGGTAAAAATCAGATGATGGATTTCAGCAAAAAGATAAGAAAAAGATCATAGATTATGTGAAAAAGATGAAGAGTAACATTTACAGTTAAGTGAAAAGCTTCTGTCTGAGACTGCTAAATGGAAGTTAAATAATTTTGCAAGAAGTGAAAACGTACAAGTGCAGAGGCAAACCAATTTAAGTAAAATTCTTTGAAAAGAATTGCCATAATTGCAGAAATTTACATATAAAGATTTTACACACCTGTAAACAAATCGTAAGTAGTTATAGAGGTGATTTGCAACCACAACTAAGAGAGTTACGGTAATCTCATGAATCAAAGGAATTTCTTCATTAACTTGAAAACAAAACCTAATTGTGTGGAGCACAGACATGTATCACAGATCAGCAGCCTTCTGCACATCCTGGGGTTCAGCCCGTTTGTAATGATGAACTTGCACCAACAGAGGCACTTGTCTCTTCCAGAGGTACGTTTCCAAGCTTTCACCACCTGCTAAAGTTCATACAAAATGAACTATCTCCCAGTGTAACATCATTCAGAAGTCTTCCTGTCAGTCTTTGGACACTCTGTTCGGTAGGCACTGAGTAACAGTTGCATTATCGTTATCAACAATGCTAATGATACACAAGGTAACAATATTAAAGATATTGAGATGTACTGATACCTGGTATTATTTAGATGCTTTTCTTTACTTTCCTAGTATCTTCTAAATGCCTTTTTGTCTCATGGGCTGTTAAGTTTTTATTAAGATATCATCAATAGGATATGAAACTTGAGTAGTCAGAATTGCTTCATAAGCCTCAGCCGTAAGCGACCCAGCTCCTTTGATTAAAAATGGTATGCTCTAATAGATGACTATAATATAGGAACTGTCGAACCTTTACCTCAATACTCAAAGGCTGACAGCTATACCATATAAATCACTTTTTTTCTCCTGATAGTTTTGGCGCATTTTCTTAGACTTGCTATCTTTAGATAGGGACATTTACTTATTTATCTGCACATGCCAAAATTAGCTAAGTAAAATCTGATTTCTCAGTCTTTGGAAAATGCTAGGCTGTTCCCCAAGGAGAATTAATTTTTCTTACTGAAAAATGTTCCTTTTTGGCTGCATGTGCTCAAAAGTAAGTAGTTAGTGATGAGAGAAGTACAGACTTTAAAAGTGATCAAAATTAGAAATATCTCTCTTTTAAAAAAAAATTATGAGCTTTTAAAGTTCATTCTTACTCTCCATGAAAACGAAAAAGAGATTGAAAAACAATTTTTTGTAAAACAAATATTATTGAAAAAAAATCAGGTCAACTCAATTGGAACTATTCTATTTTGATTACTGTGAAAATTATTCCAGTTTCTATATATTACTGTATAGTTTATGCAATGAAATATATTTCATAATAAAAAGTGTTTTTCAAGAAAAATGTTATAACTATGGAATATTAATCATTAATCTTTTCTTAATGTAGATAAAAGAACTAGGACTACTATCTCCTGACCTAATAGTTGAACAGACCGAAAGATCACAGTCTTCCCTATTAAATTTTACTTATGTTAGAATATAAAGGACTCCTTAGCTCCTTACCTGCCTCTCTTCTACTGCTTTAGTAGTTGAAGAGCCCCAGTAATTCTAAACATTATGGGTTTTGATCTCCTTTTGTCCTCTTGCTTCCTTTTCCCTCAGTATTTTCTCTCTTCCCTCTGCAATTCCCTGGCTCTTCCTTGCTTCTTTCAGCTATCGTCACAGAGATTTGCAAAATTTCCTACAAGAAAACAAGATGAAAGGAGATCTATAAATATATTCACATGCTTATGTAAAATATGCAAACGCGCGCGCGTGCGCGCGCACACACACACACACACACACACACACATTTATATATAAATGCATAAACAAAACTAAAATATGTTACTTCCTGGCCAAACTTGTTAATATTTTTTGTCTCTCATTTTGCCTGTGAGATTTTTTTAAGAGAATTTTTGTTTATGTCCTTTAGGATGTCTGAACCTTGGAAGTTTCCTCCCTTTTTTATGCAGTGCTAACTGTATTTTGCATTCCACTCAAGCTTCAAGAAAGTAAGTTACACCACTTATATCAAGTCAGAGCATATATACTAGCACTTTTTGCTGTGTTCAGCTGGTTGCACAGCAGGCTGTGTCCTCAGAATTAGATTGAGTTACTCCTAAATGTGGGACTACAGAGTAGGAACAAAATCTATCCTCTTCATATTTTCTGAAAAACCTGCAGCTAATAATTCATTGTTTAATTATATTAATTTTCCTAGAAATCTTAAATTAATATTTAGAAGTCTTTTATGTCTAATTTTCATTATATAACTTATAAATTATTACAGAGAGTGTTTTTAAATAAGGATAAGAATTTGATTCATTTTTGTTCTTGGGTTTTTTTTGACAGTTTACCACTATAAATGGAAAGGACTGACCCTTTTTTCACTTTGTAATTTGCAAGCAATATATGAAACTATCAGTCAATTATTGAAATCTAATTACTTTCCAACATAATTTACAAAATCCCATAATAAGTCATTATAAAGATCTTCATATTTCCCTGTGACAGTTATTTCTCATTAGTGAAATATCCTATATCATCAGGACCTTTTATTTTTCCTCATAGCACTGGGAAAATACAATTTTACCACCTAATATTTCAAAGATTTATGCAAAAATCCTAATATTAATCACAGGAAGAAGATAAAGACTGGAATAAATGTTTGCAAAAAGTTCTAGTGAAAATATTCTTATTAAAGGAAGTTACAGATCCTCTCCTTAACCCTGAAAAAAGATGACACTCTGAGGAGTATGGTGCTTGAGAAATACTAACTGCTGTTTTTCCTCATGTACCTCAATGCTGCTAATGTCCTGGTCGTATAATACGGGGAAAAAGGTAGTAGGCATTCCATGAGGTGCCATTGCATTGTTAAGTGCTGGACAACCCTGCTACACCAAACACTTTTGTTGGTCTTGCTCAGGCATATGAAATCTGCAGAAGCTAATTCAGCCCTTGTACTAAAAAGTCTTGCCTACTATAGTCTTTGCAAGATCTAAAGTCTCCTCCACAGATCTTCCTAGTACAGTTAATTATATTGAATAGCATGCAGTGAATTTTTTTCCATATACATCCCCCCAAATACGACTGCAAATATAAAATAAATAATGTCTTTTTTGTGCTTGGAGATGGAGCGAATGTCAATGAAGCTTTGAAGTTCTTTGAAAATATATCCTTTAATATTAAATTTCTTTGCTACTCCCAATATCTTATTTTGCTTTACAGTAAATATTTGCCTTTGTCTAACATTGTGATTATTACATTGCTGTGTAGGATTTTGATTTTTGGTTCAATGATATCCTTGTTTTAATTATTTTATTGATTTATGGTTCTGTTATATCCTTGTTTTTATTGTTTTAATTCTAGAATTAATTACCCAGCCTTATTTTTCTTAAGTCTGTCCATTTTCTGTATTGCTGATGAATTTTTATGTTTTCCCTTTGTCTTTGGTTTATTTATTTCTTGTTCCACTGTTCCTATTTCCTACCTTATCCAACAAGAGGAAGAATAAAAAAATGCAAAGATATTTTTATCAGGTATTATATCTCTCATTTTCAGGGATAGCAATTAATGCAACACCACTGTCAATGGTCACATTTTGATCCAGTGGTCATTATGTCTAAATATTCTGTTTTTAGGGTACGGAATGTGGAACATGAACGTGATCGGTCATCAAAATTTTTCTAAATACTCCGCACGACTGTTTGGTTTAAAAATTCAGCTTAAAAAAGAAAAGAAAAATGTAAAAGATACCTTTCAGTATTTCACTTCTGTCTAGGCTGCTCATCCTATTCCCCCTTTAACTTTAAAATCAACTTGATTTCCAAAACTATATCTTGCACTGATTTTTCTTTAGAACAATATTTTTGAATATTTATGTAGTCATTCATTTATACATAAGATGAAAAAAGAATGATGTGACATTTTTTATTCTATAATATTTTTGCTGAATACAATAGAGAAAATATTCCTATGAAAAGTTTCATGACTTCTTTTAAACCATGAGTCCAAAACTGAAAATTATCTCTGATTTTACATTGTCACATTAAACTGAATAACATTTATACTGTCTGCTTCCAAATGAGAGGAGCTTGGGTTTCCTCAGCTTAGATAGGAGGTTCTAAAATAGCTAATTTAAGAGCAGCAAGTCCTTTGACTATTATAAGTTCAGGAGAATGACTTCCACCACTTGCAAAATGTTTTATATGGTAGACACAGGTTGCTAGTGTTCTGTTTGCTTGTTTATTTTTTTTTATTTTGTTTTTAATTACCCAATCTTTATTCAGGTGCTTAAATAAAGTTCTTATGTTTTCAGAACATGCTAAACACCTGCTATTTTTTTCTTAAAGACTCACCACATTATTCTACCAATAACAAAAAGAATGATTTGTTTCATAGGACATCCTAAACAGCATCTACAGTATTTTGAAACTCTGCTATTAAAAACTGCAGAAAATATTTATTCAATTTTTTTGATGAAGGTAAATATTATCTTACTCTAGTGGAAAAGCAGAACTTTCTGCTTTGATAACTTGTCTTAATATTCTTACATCATGAAAAGTAGTTTGTTGCTTCAATGCATACATTGAAGTTTGGATGAATGAAGAAGACACAGAGCAGCCTGGGCTATATGTTCATATATTAAATCTATCATTTTTCTCAAAGTTTTCATGCAACACTCAAACAATTAGCATTATAACTGTAATTCGTTTGCTTCTATTTTCTTGATTCTAATTGAATGTAAAATAAAAATAAATAAATGAGTAGCCAAAAAATTATTTCCAAAATTTATTTAAAGGGAACAAACATAAATATCACACAGAGGAGTTAACTTGCTTATTCTTTATAAACCCATACCTAAGAAGCTTCTCTTTAAGAGGAAAGATTTTATTCAAACTTCATTCCCTATGCAAATACCGAATAAGTGATAGAAAATTGCATGAGACTAAGTGTCGAAATGCCCAAAGGTCGTGGCAATACTCTCTTAGTTTCTTTCTGATTATTCTAACAACATCAGGATAGTTGGTTTTGTGAAGTTTAGAGATATCTGAGCTAGCCCTAAATACGCCTGCTGAAATACTCTAAACAGTGTAGTCACATCAGGACAGATTTTCTCATGTGCTAATTTATATTAGAAGCAGGTTAGAGCTGTTGTAGGTCACTAAACATGAATTAGATTTGTCCCAACTCTTAGCTAGACCACGGTCATGAAATCCCGTGCTGAAACCCTCATATCCTCATATCCAAATTTTCAAAGACTTACAAGGCTTTGTGTACCTCATTTCACAATTTTTTCTTTAATATAAAGAGAATCTATGAAGCCAATTGGACCATATTTTATTCTATATATTTTCCCAGTGATTTTTTTTATTTCTTACTGCCATTCCCATTTTGTATGAAGTCACTTGCTATCAATAAACAGGAAAAATGGGAACTGGTAATACAAAACTCTTAATATGTTCCACAACCCCGAGTCTTTCAGAGATGTCTTATTTTGTTCTGCAAGTGTTGGGAACAGCAGAAGAGTCTTAGAACTCCTTTTTCTTTGTTTCGGTGGTCACTTACTATATAAAATTTGAGTGCTTTTTGTTTTACTTCCTCTTATTCTGTTTTATCCATGTGCTGTTTCGTATAAGGTCTTGCTTTTCAAGTTGATATTGTAAACAGCACCATCCTGCATATGTTAAAAAGTCAGCAGCCTGCTCTTTCCACTCAAAATAGCAGAAGCAGATTGGCATTGTTTTTTTGATATACATAGCATACGTTACTGTAAGATGTCATATTTCCCCAAAGGGGTACTCAGAATGTCATGAAACTTGGACCAGACGCCACAGCATCATAAATACACTATCGAGAACACAGCAGGATATTTGTATAGTATTATCATTAGGTATCAGATGAATACTGTTTCATCACATACTCTCTGTAGAATATGATTTGATGGTTACACGCTTGCGATAATGAGAATTATATCTCTATTGTAATACTACCGCTGTGCAAGTAAGATTTCAAAAATATAAGTGATGGTTTTATTTTTGACATAGTCCAGATTTTTTAAAACTTAGTTAAGAAAAAATTGTAGTAGCAAAGTTCTCCATGATCATAAATATATCTTCTTTACTCCTGAGACTACTCTTAGTGTAGATAGTCATATTGTGCTGGACACATTGAGAATACAGAGCCAGAGACAGTTCCCACTTTGAAAACCCCAAATCCGAACTAATTTAATGTGGAAGAAAAATAGTAGTCTTACATTTACAACCACCTGAGAAAAAGAGTGCATTATTTTAGAAATATCTTTTAGATACAAGTTTTTTATTGTGTTAATTTAAGAACACAGGCTACAAAAAAATCTCATTTTAATTAGCCCCAAATCCCTTTTTGACAAAAAAAGAACAAAATGTAATGAGAGGTTTTATATTTTACTTAGGCCACAGCCTTATTAACTCCCCTGGGAACTATTTGCAAAAACATATACTGTGCAAGCCGTGATTTCTACTTTAATAGTTTCTCTCTTGTGGACAGCTTCCATTCCACTAAATCTTCACCCAAGTAAACTCAAACAGATGAGAGAACCCTCTGTGAACCAAAGCCATGGTATTTTGCTCACATTGTCAGTCTCCAACTACTGTGACCTATAAAGTCAACCCTGAAAAAAGG